GTGTGACAGGCAACAGTCAGAATAACCGATTGATCGGTTCTTTGCTGGGTACTGCATCAAGGGCAAGAAAATGAGATCTGCCCTGGCCCAGGCAAAGTTGAAGGTGTACAACAACATGCCTACTTTCTAAACAAGGAAAAGTTGCAGAGTTACCTCGGATTTTCTAACTTCCTTGCACTATATATAGTAAACCTTTCTGAAAAGCGCAAACATAAGGAACTCTTTGAGGAAAAACTTTCCAAAACACAAGAATGAAGCAGATACATGATGCACATGGAATTGCTTAATCTGCATGTTGGACAACAAGTTAGCCATACATTCTATCCAGGGAACCTGGTTACCCACAAAGGTATCTAAAGGGTGCAGTGCCTTGATCCTTTGAAGTCATAATAACTAATTAGAGCACATTAGCCCTCATGTATATTATAGTGTACCTACCTATTGTACGATATGATCTCTGATTAAGCCAGAGGCAAGTCCTGTTCTGTCTTGAAAATCCAATGGATTGATGTTCATCTCATGAGCTGCCAGGCTGGTCAACAAACACACTATTCTTGATAATGAAGCACCTTCTAACATCCACCCTAGTTTTGTTGCATCATAACTTCTAAGTGTGAGCCTTAGTCCTTCCTAACCTATATGTTTGAAATAAGTTATTTGCATAAATAACCTTGATCAGATGAGTCTGTTTCTCTAAAGTAAACACAGGTATTCTCAAAGCTTATCTGGAAAGCTAAAGTCTTTAAAACTGCAAATCACTTTTGTATTCTTTTATGTGTTGACTTGAATTCAGAAACAATGCAATTTAGAAAGTTTGATATCAGTTGATTCTGTGGAGGTTGCCAAGGAAATACCAAATGAATTTGATTTAACATTTAACTAACATAGAATATTGAACAAGGAAATAAAAAGCATCGCATTTAGAGAAAGGACAGAATCTTTAAGTATTTTTTGGTTTACAAAATTTTTAATGAAGTTGAAAGATGTATACACGAGGGGTGGCAACGCAATTTTAGCATGTGTGCAGCAATCAACAAAGACAGCTTATCAATTTTGCTAAAATTAAAGTTCAAGTAGAGAAAGTCATGCTCTAAATAAATACTGCACCGTCAGTGTACAGACATGTGTGATATTCAGTTTGATCACCAAGAATCCATTGAGGAGCAATTACCTGCTATGGTCAGGTGACTGTAAAGCCTTTCTGGGTGGCTGAGCTTTGATATGCTAAAACACATTTCTCATCCTAATTTGTTTAGTGATCTGATCATGCGATAAATGGAATGTACTACTAAAGGAGCTGGAATTTTCTGATTGTAGTCAATATTTGCACAAATCTGGCAAATGGAAGCGTTGACGCATTTGCCAATTGAATATGATGTTTTGAATTTGGTAAGACAACTGATTATATTGTGCAGTTTTGGTCTCCTTTCCAAAGGGAAAAAATATACTTGCCACAAAAGGGCTGCAGGAAAGTTTCACCAAATTAATCCTTAGGATGGGGGATTGTCGTATGAGGGACAGTTAAATAGATTGGGTCTGTTTCACTGATGTTCTGAAGCAGGGTCACTGGACATGAAATGATGCCTCTGCTTTCTCCACAGATGCTGCCAGACCTGCTGAGTTTCTCCAGCAATTTCTGTTTTTTGTTTCAAATTTCCAGCATCTACAGTTCTGTTTTTGCAATATTCTCTGGGATTTGGGAGAGTAAGAGATGATTTCATTCAAGCATACAAAATCTTTTGTAGGGATTGGCTGAGGAGATGCAGGAAGGATGATTTCCCTGGCTGGGGAGTGATGCAGAACTAGGGTCACAGTCTGAGAATAAGGGACAGGACATTTAGGATTGTGTTGCGGAAGAATTGTTTCACTGAAGATGGTGATTGTCTGGCATACTCTGAAACTCAGTCATTGAAGTTGGTAAATTTCTACATGTAAAAAAAAAATGGATACAGGGATAGTGCCTGGAAAATGATGTTGAAGTAACAAGTTAGCCATGATCTTGTTGAATGTTGCAGGGAACTTGCAGGTTTGAAATGTGTACCCCTCCATTTCTTCTGCTAACTCTGAAACTTGTATTTCAGACATCTGTATGAACGTATCGATGGCCGTGTGAGGGGAAATCTTCGACAGGCAGCAATAGATCGTTTCTCTAAACCTGATTCAGATCGTTTTGTTTTCCTGTTGTGCACCCGTGCTGGGGGCTTGGGGATTAACCTCACTGCTGCAGACACTTGTATTATCTTTGATTCTGATTGGAACCCACAAAATGACCTCCAGGTGAATTTCTGTGCTATTCCGGATTGACTTTGTTTTCAGTTATGTTTACTGAATATATGGTAATCTGATAGCTCCTTACTTAAGAGTGTTCTACCCCACAGGCTCAAGCTCGATGTCATAGAATTGGGCAAAGCAAAGCAGTGAAAGTATACAGATTAATAACCAGAAACTCTTATGAAAGAGAGATGTTTGATAAGGCAAGTCTGAAACTTGGATTGGACAAAGCTGTTCTGCAGTCCATGAGTGGAAGAGAAAACAGTGCCAATGGGGTATGTGTACTTGTTTGTACCGTAGTCAGCTCAAATTAAGCAAATTTCTATGGCTGTTTAGTTTATAGAAGATATGTACTAAGTATTGGGATCAATATTGAAATTGTGCAAAAATATTCAGGTTCAGCAACTTTCAAAGAAGGAGATTGAGGATCTTCTTAGAAAAGGAGCATATGGTGCGCTGATGGATGAAGAGGATGAAGGGTCAAAGTTCTGTGAGGAAGATATTGACCAAATTCTCTTGAGACGTACACACACAATTACTATAGAGTCTGAAGGAAAAGGTTCTACTTTTGCAAAGGTACATGTCTTTAATCATGTGCAAACACGCATACATTTTGATGTCATATGTTCACCAATATATTAAGCTTGTGCTAAGCATTGAAATGTCTGATAACAATCTTTATAACATAAATTGTACAGAATTCTCCTAACCAATAAGCTTTTTTTCCTGTATAAATCTTTTCAGGCAAGTTTTGTGGCTTCTGGGAATAGAACAGACATTTCACTTGATGATCCTAACTTCTGGCAAAAGTGGGCAAAGAAAGCTGAATTGGATATCGATGCAATAAATGGAAGGGTAAGCGATATGTTGTCACATGTATTATGTTAAATGTGTAATACTGTATGTTTTATTTTTTGCTTATTTGTATTTCCTTCGTTATAGAACAATTTGGTGATTGATACACCAAGAGTAAGAAAACAGACAAGACACTACAATGCTATTAAGGAAGATGAACTAATGGAATTTTCAGATTTGGAAAGCGAGTCTGAAGAAAAGACTGGAAAACCTCTCCGTAGACTGCAAGACCGGTCCCATGGTTACCCTAGGACAGAGTGTTTTAGAGTGGAAAAGAACTTGTTGGTGTATGGGTGAGTAAATTGTTGAATGCACTTATCTAAATTTTCAGGTAAACCCGTGTGAGCTGAATAAACTGTTTCTCTCAGTTTTCATATTACGTTTCTTATAAGGAAGTATTTTCCCTGTGGACCTCATTAAATTAGTAAATTACGTATTAATTTGATCCTGTCACTGTGCTGTTTGAGTTCACTTTCATCCAAGATTCTGTGTGCTGTAGAAGATAAAGTAACTTTATCTTACTTAAAAGTCAACCAAAGAATATATGTCCATATACTTTCCTCCCCACATTGGGTGGTTCTTTACATGTATCTTGTACCACTGAATTAAGTATCAAGCCTTGGAGGCCTACTGCCAACTTTGCACAGATTGTGTGGTGTGTAACTGAGTATCATAGCAATGTAGGAGTGATGGGGTAGAGCAAGCAAAAAGACTCCTTGTGTCACCATAGATGAGGATTTCAAAGCTTCACTTGTTTGCTTTTGCATTTGGCAGGATTATGCACTTGAGCTGCATTGAGTAATAACAAAAATTAGCAGTGTTAAAATTGCCTCTGTTGCCCTGATGATCAAGATGTTCTACAAAATGTGTTACATAA